TGGCGGGGTTTTGTTGGGGTTCAGTCTCCGCGGCGGCGACGGCATGCGGCTCCTGTTCCTGGCGGTTCTGCGTCGGCACACGGGCAACGCCGTTACGGCCGAGCGCGTCAGGTAGGTGCGGGCCGCGTTGGGCGAGTGTCCCGCCCAGCCGGAGACGAGGGGGCGCGGGGGCCCGGGGAGCTCGGCCAGGCCCCACAGCCGCGCAGGGCCCGCGCGCCCAAACGGACAGATAGGGGCGCGGGACCTGCAGGAGCGCGCGGGAGTGGAGGGCCCAGCTCCGGCCACCCGCGCCGCCAGTCCTTGTCGCCCACCTGGGCGCAGATGGAGACTGCGTGGTGGGTCTGCTGCGGTGTGCCGGGTGTGCGGGCGATCGCTGCAGTGCAAGGCTCTACGGCGGCTCTGCGAAGGCAGCTGCATGTGCTCCCAGCAGGTCTCTGCGTGGCTGTCTCCATTTATCCTTACCCTTAATCGTGGGCGCCCTAGGTTTGGGGGTTAGGGAAAGTAGACAGGGCGAGAGCTGCCTGTGCGAGTGTGCTGTGTGGACAGGATTCCCAGAGAAGGCCTCTCCGCTAGGGTGAGATTTGAGCAGAATCCTGCGTGATGTGAGGACGGACCCTAAAGCTCTGGGTGGGACAGGATTTCCTGGCAGAGGTTACAGCAAATGGAAAACCTGCCTTTCTCATCCAGGAGTCTGGTTTGTAAAAGCGTTGCTGCATCCTGCTGTTTCAAGTAGCTCCCGCGTTCTCTGGTTCCATGTTGTCCATCTTCCAGTCTGGTTAACTTCTTAATACTTATCTTTTTTTGCAGTTATCTTGCTTTATTTCTTTACTTGCTTATTTTGTCTTCCGGAATGTAAGCCTGGGCCGCAGGGAGGACAGGGAGGAGGTTGCTTCATTAATCTCAGGCTCCTTCCTTCCTGGTCGAAGCAATCTGTCTGTGTTACCTGGATGAAGGAATTACGTTAAGCAGGGGATGCAAAAGTGCCTGGCTTAGTGCCTGAATCTCTCTCTCTCTCTCTCTTTTTTTTTTAAACAAACTGACTTGCTTCATGAAATTTCCCAATTTACTTCCCCTCTGTGGGTCTGTTTCCTCATCATTAAAATGAGCAACTGGAGCTCCACCAACATTTTGATGTCCCTTTAAGCTAAAACATGATACAGTTCTCCTAAAGATCATAAGTGAAAATGACCAATAGAGTATCAATCTGTTTTCTGAAGTTTACTGGAGAGTTTACAATTAGGATTTTCATTGTACAGGTTTATCTTAAATCTAATCCAGTGACATTCCGTGAACTCTTTGGGCCAAGCAGTGGAGAAGCCCACTGTGGCCGGCTCTGTTGGTTGGAGCACATTCCAGTGGGGGAGAGACAGGGAGGAGGAAACAGACAGTGAAGGGTACTCTTGAGAAAACAAAAGGAGATACGTGGTGGTGGGTGTGGCTGCTTTAGATAATGGGTCTGGGGAGGACTCTCTGAGCAAGTGACATTAAAGCTAAGACCGAAAGGAGGCAGCCACACAGATCTGGGAGGACAATCCCAGGAAGGTCCTGAGGTAGGAGCAAACTTGACATGCTTGAGAAACAGAAAGAAGGCAAAGGCCACGGGAATACAGTGAGTGAGGGGCAAATGCTAGGAAATAAGGTAAGAGATGGAGAGAGAGAGAGAGAGGCCAGATCTAGCTGAGTCTTGTATGCATGGTAGGGAGAACAGTCTGTGCTTAAGAAAGTTGAGAAATAAATACCTGTTATTTAACATGTGGCTTCTAACTAGAACTATAAAGCCACATCTTCCCAGGACCCATAGCTACATCTACCCAAAAGCCACTCGTTACTTCTTGTGCCAATTCAGAGGCGAACTAGAAAAATAACTGGTTGCTGCTCTCCCTAGATTCACTCATTCCTTTATTCCTTCATGCAGCATGTTTGTTGTGCACCTTTGATGCTGCGTGCCTTGCTAGCCCTTGGGAATTCAGAGGTGGACGTGGAAGGCACGGCCTGTGCAGAAAGCTGAAGTCAAGCTGCAGTGCAGAGCCATTTAGATCTTTTGTTTTCCTGGATGTGCAGGAAGCAGAGTAAAAGTTGCTATTTGTGCTTTGGTTTCTCTTCAGGGCCAGCTTTTGTCTTCCCTTACCTCAGGAAGGATTGCAGGTAGAAGCAAAGGGAAAAAGTGGAAGTTGTTTAAAGACACTTTCTGTCTTGTGAAAGCTGAGGTTCCTTGAGGAACTGATGCTGGAAGGGGAGGGGAGGGTGGTTCCCATGGTGATAGATATTGCTTCTGAGCCAATCAGCAGTGAGCAGAGAAAACTGGAGGAGCCCCACAAATACTCTCTGCAAAAAACCCCAGTGACCCTCTAGTAAGCCTGGGCAGTGGGGGAGAGAGCCCCCCAAATGAATAAGATTGGAGATTTCATTAGCCTAGCAGAATAGGGTGTCTGAATTAGGTGACTGGCTTTAAAGAAAAGGAATGGGTTCATTCTTGTACATGCAAGTTTGTCATTGTAAATTAACATCCGGTACATAAATAGTGATGAATACATAATATGAAAAGTCCAGAGCACTCTGGGAGCATATAGGTGGAGAACTGATCCCAGACTAGAGGTGCGGGAAGGCCATTTGGTGCTTTCAGATACCAGCTTCCCTGCATAAAAACTGCAAGGTGTAGGCCAGGCTGCTGAATTGCTTGGTGTCTCAGTGTCCTTATCCATAACAGAGCTGCTGGTGTGACCTGCCTTGTAGGGTTGTTATGAGTGTCACAAATCAGTACATTTTCAGTGTTTTAACTTTTAATACCATGTCTGGCACATGGCATGCGCTTAATAAATGTGAGCTACTAACAAGAATAATGGACCTTACTTATTGAGGCAAGGGAAGGGAGGGAGAAGTGTGTCTCAGGAAGAGGGACTGCCAGTGGTATGATGGGAAGAGAGTATCCCCTCCAGAACTGAGAGTTGTGCAGCCGTAGCAGCATAGGATAACTCCAGATCAGTGGTTCTTAATGGGAGCATGGGGCAGAGAGGATATGCGAGGGGAAGGGAGCAATTTTGCCCCCCCCTCCCAGGGACACTTGGCAATGTCTAGAGACAAAGACATTCTTGGTTGTCATCGTGGGTGTTGGGAAGGTATGAGCATCGAGTGGGCAGAGTCCAGAGATGCTTCTAAATATCCTACAGTGCGTAGGACAATCCCCAGCAACCGAGAGTGATCCTGCTCAAAATGTCAGTAGTGTTGAAGCCGATGACCCCTGCTCTAGGTAGGGTCAAGGGATGTGGATGGAGAGGTAGACAGGACCCCTGTTACACAGAACCAAGAACAGTAACTACAAAAGGCTATTGGGTTTCTATTTAGTCCCAGATCACATTGGCTGTGGTGTGGAGGGTGGGTTAGGATGATGGTAGAGAAGATGACTAAGCATCTGGGTTTGGTGTATTTAAGAAGTAGGATAAACAGGGCTTGCAGTTGAGTGTGGCCAGTGAGGGAGAGAAAGCCCATGAATTCCTTCATTACAAAGGAAAAATATTGGGGAAAATAGAGAAATCTCAGGTGTACAGCGGTATTCATATTAAGCTTGGGCCTCTGCTATCTAGTATTTTTTAAAGCAGATGTCATTGATAGAATAGAATAAAGTGTTTTTTGGGAAAATAATCTGTCAGGGGGATCAATAGTTTGAGAGTCGATGATATCTTGTCTGTGTGTCACTTTAAATAATCTTCAGCATAAGCAGTGTGTGGGATGTGTGAGTTAATTTAACTTATAACCCACAGGCTGTTAGTTAGGCCACCCACCCTCCAGAGATGCCTCCAAGGACACGACAGAGGATTTGTTCATTACCATAAAGCATTTCAGAAATAATTAGCAGTGTCCAAGGTGTGTGGTCTTCTGGGAAGATGACATGTGTCCCTTGAATAAGACATCATGTAACCCACACAGGCAGAGCAGCTCTTGAGGTCCACAGCTCTGACTGCTCTTGTGTCCCTCTGGAAACCTCTGTCATCTGGCCCAGTTAGAAGTTTGGCTTGCCTGGCTCTCAGAGAGTGGTTGGGTGTGGACACTTCAGGCAAGGTACTCTTAGGACAGAGAGAGGGACTTGAGGTCCACAGCTCTGACTGCTCTTGTGTCCCTCTGGAAACCTCTGTCATCTGGCCCAGCTAGAAGTTTGGCTTGCCTGGCTCTCAGAGAGTGGTTGGGTGTGGACACTTCAGGCAAGGTACTCTTAGGACAGAGAGAGGGGACACAGCCCAGAAGACTGTGACTCGTGGACTCTGACTGTGTTGTGTCTGCTTAGCAGAATTTGGAGTGAGAATTACTTTCATTGTAGGATGCATCTGGTGGTGAAGCTGAAAGGGAAGGGACATATGGGTCCCCACCCAGCTCTCATCCCCTGAGACTGTAACATTTGCCCAAAGCACCTGACAGTCTTTATCAAACAGGGCAAATTGGTTTAGGTCTGTTCCTAACGGTGAAGTTAAAAATTAAAAGCAGTTCTGGTAAGTAAAAAATAGGGTCAGAAAGTTCATTTTACTTGTGGAGGAGAAATAAATTGCAAAAGTAATGGACATAAGCTCTCTTGCTCAACCCATCCTCACCATGTGACACCACGGTCACAACAGGACTCTGTAGAGAGGTCCCCACCAGAAGAAAGCCCTCACCAGATGCACCCCTGGACCATAGACTCCCCAGCCTCCAAAACTATAAGAAATAAATTTCATTTCTTCATAAATTACCTTGTTTTACGTATTCTGTTATAAGCAACAGAAACGGACTAATACAGACCTTTAAGAGGTGTTTGGGGCCGGCCCGGTGGCGCACTGGATAGTGTGCCGCTTGGGAAGCGCGGCGGCGCTCCG